TACCCAGAACCTTCTGGTTGGGGGAATAACCAGAAGGGGGAACAGGTGTCAACTATCTGTCCCTCCTTCTATGCCGACACGTTAAATGCCCAATGCCATATCGACCATTGCCCAAAACCACCCCAATGGTGGCGCCCACGTGCTCCCCAGGCAACCCCATAGTAGCAGCCAGGTGTGAATCCATTAAAACGGTCTAATAAAATATAATTAAAATACAATAAAACCCTCCTTATGATAATTGGAATTATTGCTTAAGATTTAAGGTATCAGAAATATCTAAAGACAATCTCTGGAATATGACTTAGAAGTGGCTTATGTGGTGAAAAGAAATTCCATGAAGATCATATCTCATACATATTTTGTTATCAGTAAGGAGAACCTTCATATAAGTGAATCAAGATTTAAGGAACTAGCACTGAATTCAGGAAGAGACCATAAAAGAACACAACAGTGAACCAGAAATATATTTTTAAATAATATTTCTTAATTAGCACTGCTATGGCAAGTATAATTTTTGTACTGGATATAATATGTATATGGATACTGATCTATGAACAATGTTGATTTGTTGTACAACATCCCTTTGTTTGAACAAATAAGGAACAAAATCCACAAGCAGTTTACTCAGAGAGCCATTCAAAAGTGCATGACATCTGTTCACTTCATCAGTTGAAAGACGAAAGCATGTTACCTGTTAGCTTTATGAACTTCCATAATACCGTTAATGTATCTGATGAAGTAGACAGTGTCCACAAAAGTTTATATAAGCTTAATTAGTTTTTAAGGTACTGTAAGACTTAATTTTTATTTAACCTTTAAATTTAAACTTAATCTTTATTTTTATAATGTTGAAATCCCATGCTTGCTTTCCTGGGAATATGTCCTACTGTATTTCCCTGAAAATAAGACTGGGTCGTATATTAATTTTTGCTCCAAAAGACACACTAGGGCTTATTTTCAGGTGATGTCTTATTTTTTCATGTACATCAATCTAGATTTATTCATTTATTAATGTACAAAAGTCTACATTTATTCATGTACAAAAATCTACATTTATTCAAATACAGTCATGTCATCTTCTTCTGAAACATTGTCAAACTCTCCAAACCCTGAATTGTGTTACAATGGATGTACTAAATGTGTCCGTCTGTCTGATGATCTTAACTGGGGCTTGTTTTTGGGGTAGGGCTTATATTACAAGCATCCTGAAAAATCATGGTAGGGCTTATTTTCCAGTTAGGTCTTATTTTCGAGAAAAAGGGTTATTAGTACTTCCAAGGAAAAATGCACAACCCAAGGATTCGGTTGTGAAAATTATATACTGTAGTTGAGTCTAATGGAGTAATTGGTGTAATTTGTTAATAAATTACTGAAATACTTAATCTTGTTTGATATAGTTTGAACAAATGTAAGATAAAGCCAATACATTGTAGTAAAGTTTTAAAAATTTCTAAATAAAAATTACTGAAATTCATCAATATAAATGATGAAAATAAACTGGGTTGAATGAGAACTCTAGAGCAATCTAATATAGAAAGAGTTAATGATATCCAGTTTTTTAGGACAGAGGGGCTGAACAGTCTGACAATTCAAGCAGGAAAAAAAGAAAGACATGAGCCCGGCTGTGTTAATCATAACACAGTAGCATGAACCAGCATTCTATCTTCCTCCATAATCAGTGGGTGCCTAGGGATAGATATATTACTCTTGCCAGCAGTCTTGAACTGATCACTTGCAGAGCACTTATAAAATTAGATGGAAGGCTATATACTGCCCATTTCATTTTGCAAGATCATATACCAAACAGGTAGACAAACAGATAGTAAAAAATGGCAATACTCCTGGAATGTCAGTTTTATTAAAGTATGATGATTATATGCTTAGTTCAGTTGGATGGGTGCTGTTATTAAAAATTCACGTGTGTTAAATGCCCCTTTGACTTCAGTGACATTACATTGTTAGGGGAGGAGCTGGCACATTGAACTGGTTCTCATGATATGACAGCCCATCAAAGGGGCTGTTGTGTTGTGGCTGGCCAACCTGCTGAGTCTTATCATGTTGTGTGAACTCAGGTGAGCCCAGATAACCTTCAAATAACCTATGGTTTGTTTTAGGTTTATCTAACCCTCAAATAACCCCTGCTGCCCAGAATTGCACAGCAAGCCACAACAATCCAGATGCACACAGGTGTCCCACATGGCATTCCTGCAGGTACATAAAGCCATGGTGTACTGTTATGGCTTCTGGATCAGGCTCATTTACTACTTTGTTTCTGAAATATTCAGCAGTTTTACTTCCATAGTGCACAATATGAGTTGCAGAGACAGTGACTGCATTCACACATAACAGTAATGTACCCTGAAAGTAAGCTACATAGTATTGGTTGTTCCTGGAACAACCCAGGACACATCCACAAATGATTGTGTTTGCTGTGGCTTGTTTGCTCCCTCCTTCCCACTCAGTTCTTCAGGTGGCTCCTGTTCTTATCCCAGTATCCTTTGTGATGGAGCCTGACTTCCCTTCCCTTCCCTTCCCTTCCCTTCCCTTCCCTTCCCTTCCCTTCCCTTCCCCACTCCACTCCCTTTGCTTGTTACTGTTTTGTAACTTCAAATATTGAGAAATTAGTAACTGGTCGCTGGTATCTATGCACAGATTAGCCTTCGATAAGTCTTCCCTTATCAAATTCCTTGTATGTTGCCTACCGACCTCTGAAACATGTAAGACAATTGACCAGACAATTGACCAGTCTACACATATGTAACAGACATGAGAACACACTTGCAAAAGATAAGGAAAATAATTTAAACAAAGATTGCAAATATATTTGTGCAATTTTCTAGAATAAACAAATGGATGAATAAACAAGGGTGATAAAGCAGTGGAGGTCACTCTGAAGTGTAATTACTGGTGGCAACATTAGTGAGATTGTGAAGAACAGGAAGGGGTTTTGCTGTTTTTGCCAAGCAACTTGCTAGCTGATCCCAACAGCCCATAACGAAACTGTCTCAGGACTGTATGACCTGACAATCTATTCTGATACAAAGAGCCCATAGAACAGGTCATGGGTTGCTAGGGTGGCTTGTTTCCATCAAATAAACCACTCTGTGGGAAGCGAAGCACTCTGGGTTCAGAAGATGCAACAATAATAATAGCTAATTACCTATGCTGGATTGTTGCTTTGTGTGAACCCAGTCAGTAAATATGAAATCACACTTGCAAAACAACAGCCTCTTTGTCTGTCTGATATTGGCAATTTCAATGAGGAAGAAATTTTCAGGATATTGAGACATTCAACTTTAAATGTCTTTAAAGCTGACTTTAAAATGTATCCACTGTCTTAAATAATAATTAAAATCACAAACACCAGTATATCCATATATTAAAAAGGCAGCAGATATGGGTAACATCCTGAAGGTAGCACTTAAAAGCAACAACATCCAGCAAATCAGATTCAATTATCCATTAAAAGTCCCAGAAAATAAGATAGACTCTGCCTGTCTGTGCCAGGCAGAGTTTGTTTTCTTAAGGGAAAGGTAATGGCAACCCTGAGTGTTTCCCTGGTAGTAGTCCATAACTAGGGCATAACTAGATAAATGCCTCTCCCTATATTCAACACCTGTGTAACATCCACAGACAATATGTACTGTTAGTCAGGAAAGGAATTCTGCTGATAATCTCAGCTGTCTGGACTGGTTCCTAGGATGCTACATGGTCCTTCAGAAAACCAAGTAATAGACTGTTTAGAGTTGTAATACACATATTAAAGGCACCTCCATGATAGAGTCTTTCCTACAGTCCACCAAATCCTCTAGTCTTTCTCCACCTCACTGTCATTAATTTGTAGCTGTCACCAATTATGTAGATTGTTGGGGTCTTGCCTGAGGACTCAACCAAGAGGACAATGCTGTAAGGTTGGCCCTGTGACCACAGCTGCAAAACTGAAATTCTCTCAATCTGGCACTTTGGGGTTTTCCAGAAAACCCTATCCCTTTCCTTTAGTCTATCCCCTTTTCTCCAACCACAATTTGTTTGGTGGTTTGCTGTTTTCTTGTGCAGATTCTCCCTCATTCTAAATTTTTGAAATGGCTCTAAGGTTTATTCGCTAGCAGAAAGAACTTTAAGTTAATATGCTGCAATATTCACTTTGGCCCCACCCACCACCCAATGCAAACTCAAGAGCTTTTCTGCAATGGATATTAACCCTTAGATTGAAAGATGCTACACCCGTGCTATAACATCTCCTTTGGTGGTTAACCATAGGAAGCGCAACTGCTGACATCATCTTCTCCAGGTAAATTTTGGGCCAACCATAACCTTCAAAATGGGCACATTCACCAAAGGAGGAAAGCATTGCCAGGGAGCGGGGGTGGGTAGGTGTTGCATCTGCATGTTTGCATGTCTATGTTTATGTGTACCATGGAGAGCAGCTGCCAGTCACTTTCCACAATACTGGTCTACACAGATTAAGGGTCCGCTTCAGTATAAGACAACTTCTGATGACTTGTCTACACCTTACGAACATTGCAGGCCTATGCATGTCTACGCAGAAGTGCTAGTAGATTTAATGGGGCTTCCTAACCAGTGGGGGTTTCTAAGATTGCTATGTGCACAATCATATGCATGTTTTTGGCAGCAAAAGATTGCATCCTTAGTGTGTGAAAACAGTATTCAAAGGACTGAAAAGAGCTACAGCCACCACAGGACGTACTGTGCATCTGTATTTGATGAAATATTCCAATGTGACCAACATCCTTTAGGCTGAGCTCTTACTAGACGTTGGCAGAGTTTGAACGTACTCCACAAAGAACACATTCCAAAGACGCAACCAGGCTTCTAATCTTCAGTCCACAAACCACCGCAGAGCGGTGTCGGATTGGCACAGACTCCCTGAAATGCCTACTTCACCCGTCATTCGCCCTAGCACTCCAGTTTCAAAAGCTTATGGCTTGTCACTCTGCAAGACTCCTCCCGCACCTTCCCGACTGCCACATTACCATTACCTCAACACTCCACGTGCTCAGGCAGGCAGGCAGGCAGGCAGGCAAGCGGGCTGTCGCTGTCACGCTCGCGCTAATAGAAGGTGGCGGCACCACACCGACAGGAGAAAGTCTAGACGTGAGCAGAGAAAACGAGGCGGGGGCGCCCGCGCTTGCGCCGGCTGCTGAAGTCAGCGGCCGGATCCTGAGGCGCATGCGCTCTTCGCTGTGGTCGCCCCAGTCTGTTTGAACAGGAAGGCGGACATATTTGTGTGACTCTGCCCTGCTTGATTAGGTACTGTGGCAGCGGTGGTCGTCCTAAGGCCTCATTCTCTTCCCTTCGTTCACGTTTCCTCACCGTCGGGAGAAGCGGCAGCGGCGGATATTCGTCCCTCTCAGCTACGGAACGAAGCAGGTTTTGCAGAGGGATCCTGGCCGAATCAGCCTCACTAACTTACCCGACACTTGAAGCCCGGTGAAGTGTAGGAAGCGCGGCTTCTGTCGGGATAGAGAAAAGCGGGGGGGGGGGGGAGAGTAGCACTGAGACTGCGACGAGCGGCAGCGGGGATCTCAGGAGAAAGACAGAATTTGCCGGGGAAGAGGGCGGCCGCCGGAAGGAAAGCTGAAGGAAGATGCCTCAGCCGTTACGCGGCCGTTGGTGAAGCCGCGCGTATCCGGAGGGCAAGGCGGAGGCTTAGATTTTACCCCGCCCCTCTCCCCCATCCTGGAGAATTGGAGCCAAGCGGCCTGTGCTGCAGCTGGCACCCTCTTGACTACCCCCGCTGCAGCTTGGGCAGGGAGCGACGCCGTGCACTTCCTCGGGCCTCAGTCTCGATGGAGGGAGCAGCCCGCTGACGCTCCGCTAAGAAAGTTTCCTGTTTTCATGGTAGGCCTCGCGCTCCCTCTTTTCTTTCTTCCCCTCGATTCGAAGAAACTGCTTCTGGATAGCTGGCACGGAGGAGGACGACCGCTACGCTGCTGGCTGCTAAGGCTGCTGCCTTGCTGGAGAAAATGTGGCTGCAGAGACACGGGGCCCCAGACTGGAGACGAGAGAAGACTGACAGGGTTGTAACTGCAGCCTAGAGACACTCAAGCAAAGGGACAGCAGGGAAAACTACTGCCCCAGGAGGGAGTAGCCCCTGTGTTCCCATTTTCGGCTTTAACTCTCTTTTGCGTGAGGATGTGTGGCAGGGAGAGCATGAGGGACAACCCCAGCACATCCTCAGTACTTCTCTGAGAAGGAGAGCCAGCTCAGGGAGCACTCCCTCCACTTTTTTCATTTTTTGCTTTTGCTTTGCTGTGGATTAAGGCGACCATCTCTTCAGCACCATGTCGACAGGAGAAAGCTTTGAATCTCGGTTTGAAAAATTGGGAATAATGATAAAGGACCCCAAATCTGAAGTGAATTCGGACTGTTTATTGGTGAGTTGCATGAACTTTTCTTCAAGAAAAAATGAACAGTTTGCAGGGGGAAAGAATTGTGCCTTATTCATCATCTTTTAACTCTGCTGATGTTTGCTTGCTTGATAAATAGAGTGTTAAGTGCATTCAGGCTAGATGAGTCCTATTTTATGAAGGGGTGGTTTTTCAGCCTCTCATATTTCTTAAAGTATTCACATATATTTTGAGTCAATATGTTGCAATTATAACCCAAGAAATCCTGGTATGCAAATAACTCTTTTTTAAAAGGGGAAATGTGATTACTTTTGTTTCCTTCTCTCCATCTCCCTCAGATCCTTGAAAATGTGTCAGTAACTCCCATCATTCATTTAAGGAACATTTCTATGGCTACCAGACATTATTGGGGGGGGGTGTGTGTGCGCGCGCGCGCGTGCATAGGGTAGTTCAGATTCCAAGTTCCAAGATTAGAGACAGTGCTGTGACCTCCAAACTGGGAATTGGAATTCCGATCCTTTTCCTCTCCCAACAGGCACAGAAAGAACGAGCATACACTGCTCTCCAAGGTTGAGAAAGCAGCTTTAGAGAAGAGTTAAACTGGATGTTTCAGGGGGAGAAGAGGAGACTGGAGTGGCCATGATACAAAGTACCTTGGAGTTACTCCAGTCTCCTTCCTTTCCCCTTCAAGATGTCATAGTTAAATGGTAAAAAACCCCAGCTAACTAGATAAAATGTGGAGAAGATCACATTCACCACTTTTCTTCTGTATTGGATGCACTTTAGCCTCCTGATTTTGGGAGCTTTTGAGCATCCTCATAGCATTGCATCCTTAATGTATTACCTATGCTGCAGAAAGGACCATTAAGCAGACTTAGAGTGCTGAAATTAAAGCAGAACAAAAATGTCACCTTACTGAAATAACTGTGTTAAATCAAGAATGTATGAAAAACTGGTAGGCATTTTTGAGACCAGAATTGTATGTAACACTGAATCCAGCAGGGTTTTTATTAGGGTGCAGTCCTACACATTTAGATAGTTATAAATCTCATTGAACTTAGTGAGGCTTACTTTTGAGTATATTTGTATAGATTTGTAATTTACAGTCATGTTTTTGTGTTTTAGATTCTAAACTGAAGCAGTTTCAATAAGCAAGTCTCTTTAACTAATAGACCATTTCTTTTAATACTTCGGTAAAAGGACACTGTCTATATGTCAGCACTCTGCATAGGATGATGCAGTTGTAAATTCTTTGTAATCTTTCCTAATAAAGTTTGTTCAGATTTCCTCAGTGGTTTAATCCTGTAGTCTTTAAGGCAGTGGTCAGGAGAGTGTGGTCCTCTAGATATAGTTCTTCAACTCTCCTGAGAACTGATCCGTCAGTATGGCCAATACTGAAGATGATGGAAATTCTAGCCCAATAACTTCTGAATAGGTACATGTTCTCCATCTTTACTTTAAAGGCTTATTAAGCAAAAATACCCCCTTTATCACATTGCTCCCACTAGTGAGTCAGAGCTGTATGTGAGAGCCTTATGTATGTGAGTTCTTTGTGTCAGGAGTGGGTATTTGCACAATGGTATATGGGGCAGGGATCTGGAATAAAAGAATGAGTTCTTTTGAATACAAATTTTGGCTACCTATACCTAGTTCTAAAACTCATGTAGGATTATGTCAAATTTTAGAAGTTAAAGGTTGTTGGGATCCACTGTGTATACAACTTTAACATCTACACACTTGATAACAGCAGATGCCTGTAAGGTCATCTGATTTTGAAATATGATCACACAAATAGAAGTTCCACTGTATGCATTAAATATGTTCTAATGTTCACATAAAGATTTAACCGTGTTAGGAAAGAGTAAAGATGAAGGATTCAATTAGAGGAATTGCCTATTAGAACTTATTTACATAAGAGACTGAAGTCAAGACAGCTTCACTTTTGTATTGTTCCAGGCTGACATGCTCAAGTCATTGAGCAGGTTTGTTGATTTCAACAACTTGTTGTAGTCACATGAAATGGCTTGTCTATCATGCAGAGTTGGATGGTGTTCATTATGTGGAGTTAAACAATTCTGGAACAAACCTAGAATGATCCATGTGTTGTTGAAGGGTTGTATAACCCTTGACACAACATACATGGCACAACAAGCATGGTATACTCTCACTGTACCTTGCATATTCAGCCACACTGGGCTGTGATGATTATGTAAACAGACACAATGTGTGCCATGGTGAACTTAGGAGAGATCTAGTTTAGCATTTGATGAAAACTGCAGGTTTATCAATTAGGTTATGTAAATAGACAGGTATACCTTGTTTTTTTGTTCCCATAATAATAGAAGTTATAGATACCAATTATATAAATGCAAGGGAACTCGGTGCTGTCATGGGAAACATCAACATGTGGTACAGTTTTCTCAAAATGTGTGTGCATAACAAACATACAACTGAAGGCCACATTGTAATGCATGTTATAAAGTCAACTGAACCTTATAGAGGTCAGTTCATGAAGTTTGTATAGTGATTTTCGAACTTAGGTTTAGTTGTCATTGGTGACAAACTATGATCTACAATCACTGAAAGTATTAAGGAAATTTGTTGAGTTAGCAGACCAGATATTGACTTGGAGCTTTCCCTTCGTGCCTCTGTTTTCTCTCCTTTAATAGCTTTTAATAGTGTCCTTGAAAATGAGGAGGTATAAATCATCCTTTTCTGGAGCACCTAGAACCTTGGAAAAGCATGGAAAATGTGGAGGGGACTGAGATTCATCAGAGGAATAGTAAAAACTGAAGGGGCACACCTTTTAGAGGAACAGAAATCTTTTGCTGCTACAAAAGTAAATTGTAGCTGCCACAGCAGCAAAGTTGGCTGTAAAGTGCTGCATATATAGCCTGATGTTTCCTAAGTTCTGCTTAAGAGGATCTGCAGAGGGATGATCAGTTAGGATCAGAAAGTGCACTTTTCTTGATCCTCCTATCCAGACTCTTTTAATTTTGGATGCCCTTGGACTACTTGATTTCATAGTGTTATATTTCCCTGTCCAAGAATACTTTGTTCCCCCAGATGTTTTGGACTAGTACTCCCAGGGTTGCCATCAAGGAGGGGAATGCTCAGGCACTACATTCATCTACCAGGGACCCACTGATAAAAGTTCCATAGAGTTTCGTCTTTTCACCACTTCACAACTGTGGTGGGGAGAAGGTTAAGTAGATACCACTGTCTGTTTGTTCACTGGATTTCAGCTTGTCAGGCAAGAAGCCGTAGGAATGATGAGAAAGGAGAGAAAGAGGAGCAGCAATAATTGTAGCTGTCACAGTGAAACGGACAAGATAAGCTCAGTGACGGACAAGATAAGCTCAGTGACGGAGGGAGGTCATTAAGGGTGCATTGCCAAAGGGTCCTCACTAAAGCCAACACTTGACCACGCCCATGCTCCTTGACCATTGACCACAGTGATCAGTGCCTTTACTTTATCAAAGCAGAGTTGCAGTTGCTGGTTGCTGTAATTAGGGTACCTAAATACATTTGCAAGTTGGAAAAATAGGGGCAGGGGAAGTGTAATCAAAGGCAACGACAGTGCAGCAAACAAAAGGAAGTGTTGTTACTTTGGTTAAATACATTATATGGAAAATGCTTATTTAGAATTGTTATATGGAAATAGTGGAAATTATATTTTGAGGTTAAAATAATAAAGTATACCTAAAATGAATTAAACACTAACAACACATTTAGTGTTTAGTTAGAATATAACATACCACAGAATAGAATTCTTGTGCTGTCCTGCTTTATTTTTGTTTTGTAAATTTTATATATTACAATTTTTCTTTCTGAGGAACTCAAGTTGGTTTACATAATTCTCTTCAACTCAATCTTATCCTCACAACAACAACCCTGTGAGGTAGGTTGGGCTGAGATTCTGTGACTTGCCCATAATGCACAGCAAGCATTGGTGTAATTGTTGATAAATTAAATTGACAGTCTTTATCCTTTTCTACCCCAGTACACAATACAGTATTTTAAAATAGAGGTGTACATTTATCAGAACTAAAGGATCTAAAAAATATAAATGTTTATTCAGGACTTTCATGTTGAGCTTTAATAGATCTAGCAAATGGAAAGTTTACTATAATTGAAACAAGCTTCTCAGGTTGTTTCATGCTACTTTGCTTTTTGATTTTGTGTATATATTTTCACCAATTCGGTACTTTCTTTGATGTGAAAGATGGAGGAATATAAGTCATTTGCATCTGTTGTATAAAGCATTAAGACAATGTTGCTGCAGCAGTATGGTTTGTGAGCTTCTAGACTGCAGTGTTGTCCTAAATCTCCAATGCTGTATATTCTGCGTAATGTAACTGCCTTTTTAACTTTGAATTCTAAGTGCTACTAGATGATTTAGGGTGGAAAATCTTATGAAATATTTTTGAGTATTATAATTTTCTGTAGAAACTGTTTTACTATTACTAATGTGTTTCATCATTATTCAGTAACAAATTGATAATTAGTAGCATAATGAACACAAATCAAATTAAGTAATTACAGTGGAGAGTTGAACATGTGTCAATTCTAAGTCAAAGTTGTAGTTTACTTTTTTCAAGCATGCTGAAATTAGTATGTCAATTTTAATACATTCATTTTTAATATTTAAGCAATGTAAGAGAAGTGTATTAATGAGTGGTCATGTTTTTGAATATTTTGAAATATTCCAAAACTTTGAATTTCTTTTCATATAATATTTAAACTACACTAAGTACAGTTCTAGGATCCCTGGGGGGTTTTCTAGAGTCACAGGATGTTTAGAATTTTTACTTCCAAAGGAAGAGAAAGAGAAGTCCAACTTTGGAGGACTTCAGAAACCTCTCCCTGCCAGTGTGCTAAGATGTGCAGCTCTTATGAGCTTTTTCCTTCCGCCAACAGAATCTCATTCCATCACGTGTGATCTTCCCATTGTAATGAAACATACTCCTGGAATTTGGGGGAACATAAGCCAACTCTGGAGCTGGTATGCACAGTTTCCCTCCTGT